CCTGATGAAGTTTCAGCTCAGCTTCAGTTGTATATTTCAAGAAAACAACATTCTAGGATCTCGATTTCGAATCAAAAGTTGCTAAATCATGTTTTGAATTGGGCCTGAATTCAGCGTCCGAAACAGTTCTCACTGAGCCGATTGCAGCTAAGCGATGTTGCGCACCGATCCGACGAATTATAGCAACCATGCGCGTGTGCATTGTGTCAACGCTTGCACGCGCTTCGCTGAATAAACGAACTACTAGTTAACAGAAATTTCCAAAGGTGCTTCTTAAGACGTTGGAAAGGCCTTCTTTTGGTGATTTCTTTAAAATGACAGCTTGCCAGAAAGAATAATTTCACAAGGAGTTTAGTCCCCTTACTATCTTTCAATCGGTATGTTTTTCACCAGTTACTTTTTGGATGATGGACTCTGGCTTTAAAATAGAACATGTATACTTTTTTCGTTAAATTATAACTTACGGTACAAGTAGAAAATCCATTACAATAAAAAATTCCCACATCACAGTACATGTATTTGCTAATTGTTAAACGCATTTAACTTCACATTTTCACATAATTGTAGACAAGCTCAGTAGGCATCTATATATATAAGAGAGAGTTTAACTCGGCCTCCGAGACGATGTTTGCTCATGAAAGGATCCGAGACCGCGGGCTCCCGCGGCACCAAAATCGCTCCACGTCCGTGGAAAAATGCGGAGTGTGTCTTCCGCCGGGTCGGACACTTCGGGTCGTCCTTATTTTCCCGTACGGACCGACGATCCGTTTAGTCGATTTTTCGTGACTGCGTTTTGCGCAGGAATTTGCCGTCGTGTGCACTTTCACGTTGACTGCCTGGCCGCCCCCTGTGCTGGCTTTTTCTGCGTGTCTAGACTGTGCGAGGTCAGCGAGGTCAACATAGGGTTGCGTTTACGTGTTCTACTCGGCCGTTTTGCAAAAGAGTTCACCAAACGTTAGTATGGGGTGACCTTGGTAAAATATTTTTTGTCCATGGTGCGTGGCCACCAAGTGTCCCTATTCTTTCATATGCTTCGCTTGCCGCCCCTGTGCCGAGTGCAACAAATACTCAGAAGGACTATATATTAGTATGCCTAGCGCGGTCTGACCAATCGAAAGTCTACACTGCGTGGTACTTCCCGGCTATGCGTAAAACCGTCACTGGCAACGCGTACTGCAGCCTGCTCCACACCCTGGAAACAAGGTTGAGTCTACGGTGCTCGCTATTTGAAGCACAAGCATGTGATGTCGCGTGATAGAGTGCTGTTGCTTCCATAATGTGTTTACAGCTCCATGCTTCCACCACCAAGGCTGAGCGTTGTGAGTTCGTTGCCCGCCACGTATAATTCAGTGCAAGGGCGGATCCAGAACACAATTTTGGGGGGGGGCCAAATAAAATTTTGGTCCCCCAAAAAGTGGGTCTAAAAAAATACGGCGTGGGGTTCGGGGCCCGCTTAAGGGCCCCGAAAAATTTTTGGATTCTAGATGCTCTGTGGTGCGATCTGAGGCAATTTCTGACCCATTTAACCAATTTATTTTTGAGGAAAAGATGGTGGTGTACTCATTGCCTGCCTTTATTGCGATGTCACATTAAAAAAAAAAAAAAATTGGTTTCGTTTTGGGGGGGGCCATGGCCCCCTTTGGCCCCCCCCTGGATCCGCCCTTGATTCAGTGTCGTGTTATAATTTCGGGGGCCTGTTTGGGGTCAACGAAGGATCGATGCATTCACAAAAAAATCAACGAAAAAGTGTCCGACCTGGCGGAAGACACCCACATTTTTCCACGGACGTGGAGCCATTTTGGTGAAGACCGCGGTCTCGGATCCTTTCAGGAGCAAACATTTCTCGGAGGCCGAGTAAAACTTGCTCTTGATGGTTGAACTTCAATAAAAGTTAAATCGACTTTTTCCTCGCAGACGGTCTTGCAAATTGTAAGAAGTTCAAGTTTACGTTTGTTGAAGAGTCCAATACTGAAACTTAATTATGACCTTCGTCCATGATTCAGACCATTTGTAATTTTATGGTAACACTTAACATTTAACATTTTCATTTCAAATAACACCTTTACATTTTATTGTATTCGCATGTGTACTACGGTAACCTTTTCACTGCGTTTTCCAAATGCGACTGCCTCACAAAATGCCAATTTAACAGACCAACGGGAACATTTACAAACAGTTGCCATGGTACATAATTATCATGTGCGTAAATCCATGGGGGACAGGGGGAACCCCCCCCCCCCCTCCCCATTTTAAAGCGGGGGACATTGTTTGGTTCCGCCCCCCCCACTTTTTCTTCCCCGAATAAAAATTGTAGCCTACAACAATGATTCTATTGCTCAGAATACATGTAGCTGATTCAATTACTCCAAACTCAAAACTTTAAAAGATGATCTTTTGCTAAAATTGGTTTTAGTGGTCAGAAATTGCCTCAGATCACACCACAGAAATAGCTTTTCTATAACTGCATGTCTCCTTAACTATATCCCCATTTACATTTAACTCATCCTCAACACTACGCCCTACCCGATCTATGATCGGGTAAATCAGCTTGTCTCAAATAAACTTATAGAACCATCATCACACGATATTCACTGCAGATTATGAAGCAATATGCAGCAGGATGTTATAATTACACGAACTGTTCTCTGTATGTTGTCCCTTAAACACTGCTCATGGTAAGTGATGTGGTCTGAATGTGTTTTCATGCCTAGGCTTGGATTTAGCTTGGACTCAATCATGAAACTTGGACTTTAATAGCTTGACTTCTGGAAAAGAGACTGGACTCGATTGGACTCCATCTGCTTGGACTCAACTCGGAGGACTACACTATAATACTGCTGACAGGAGTTCAACCCCATGTGACAACCAAAGTTTTAGCATTTGAATCGAAACTTCACATTATCTTCTACAAGTTGCCGTACCAAACACGATCACACTTTAAACCTGAAACCCTTTGCCAATTTGTCATGGTGACTACACGTAGGACACCAGCATACGACTAGCTACATGATGTCATCTGAAGTGTCAAATCAACTTGCGAACCAAATCCTCGTCCATTAGCTGATCGATAAATTGCAAACTGCACTCCAAAGTTGTACCCCATTTCTGACTCTGCAAACAGCAGTCCTACTAGCAACATGAAGTGTCACTAAATGATTCCACACACAAAAGAAAGAATGGCTACTCACCTACAGAAACTCCTCCCCTGTATACAGCACTACACACACAACTGTGGCTGGCCTCACAAACAATCAATGCTAAACTCTTCCAGAAACCAAATCTAAGATTGCAGTACTGAAAAGGTGCAGTGCAGAATCGACAAGAACAGAATCCAAGTTACTCTCAAAGGCGAAGGCGCACAAATGATAGAACCACTTCCGCCCAGCCCCTATTTATAGTCCCGATGACGTCATGCTGGGTAGTTACTCAGAAGAATTAAGCAATTGCCATGCATTTGTGCTGTGCCACCCTGTAGTTTGATTGGCCTATTTCTCCTGCACACACTCACGGTCACACTGAACATACCACCCTATTGGTGCACACATAGATATTTAAATTAGGCTGACCCCTAGGTTATTCTGACAATCTAAGCTTCCCCATAGAGCACGTACAATTGTACACTCAGTTTATGAGAAATAAACTGAATACCCAGACTATATTGTTGATTGTACAAATTGGTACCGGGGGTATTCCCCAATAGTTAACCTACAGCGAGCCAGAGAGCTTAGAATCTATTCAAGTTCAGCATTCCTCATTCCAACGTCACTGCCCCGTTTTTTGGGTTTGTATTCTCAGGTCATCCACCATTGACTCTCACAGACCTTGAGGCAAATTCTGTCAACAACACCGAATGAAAAAGCTGCCACAAACAATCCCATATTTGGTGCTGCCCCGCTGCTTACGGATTAGCACACCAGGTGAAAGGAATAATGGCGATATGGGACTATTGCTGGTGCATTTCATTTCTGTTGGAGTACATGTACTCACCTCAGTGACAAAGTCTTTCTTAGACAAACTCAATCTGTTTGACTTTAATGAGTGATTGGCTGACAGCATACAGCACACATCCAATATGTAATTTCGTTCACATTTTGTGGGGATTACCAAACTATAGACTTTTGGAAACTGTGTTGTACAGGGTGTCCCAAAACAATTGACACCCTAACTTTGATTGCAACTTCAAAAATAACCAAGCTGGCTCTGTACGTTTTTTTTGCAAGCGGACATTATCACTAGCAAACAAAATTTGGGTGTTGGAGCAGGAGGGGGGGGGTTTCGCTTTTTTTTCTCATGAATATCTATTGAAAAAAAAATGTTTGACAGAGCTGGGGTTTTTTTTTGGACCCCCCAAACCCCCCTCTGGATCCGCACCCGTGTAGGCTGGGAATTCTTAACTGTTGAAAACAGCCACTTGATTGATTTGGACTGGAAGGACTACTTGGCACAAAATGTATGTTTGCATAGGAGGGTTTACCAAAATTAACTTTTTTTGACGTGACACAAGAGGGCGCCGTGTAATGACGTCATCTTCACTTGCTTGTGTTTGGCATCCCTCACTGACCATTTGCTGAATTTGAATCTTTGAAACAAAAGTACATTTTGAAAATGAACAAAGGTCTTCGCTGTGGGCGATTCCGTAAATTTGGGCATAAATGTCAGACACTTTAATGAGCTGCTGTTGGAAAAGTGAATGTGATAGATCACTAATAATGTGACATCTAATGAGTAGAAAACAATTACATACCAAACTACGGTACCACCACCTTGACGACCATGTGGTCCGACGTATGATGGTTAAATTAAACAATTCAACAGGTTAATTAAACAGAATACCAGTGAAGGGTATGTACCCTAGTTAAACAAAGTCAAAGTATAACAGACTGACAGACACACATAAAAAAGAAAGTTAAAAACAAAAATAATTGTCCTACCTACCAATCTGGATAATTGTTAGGATGTTACCGTAAACACACACATATTTTCAGCCTAAGTGAACCTACCATGATACGGGTCTTGACACACATCTATGGCTTGGCCGGTGTCAATTCTTGCTGTCCTCTTTGGAGGTTTGTGGCCATGAACTTCCTGTATGCATCTTCATCGGTCTCTGCAAGCTCATCCAGCATTGACCAAAAGCACTGTGCCTGCTTCATCAGGTCATGTTGGATGCCTGTCGCCATAGTTTACTGAAATTGGAAAAGAAAGGAGCAAAATTTTGAAAATGGCGTCCACGCGATATTCGCAACGGAGCCCTCACCAATAAACGGTAAATTTCACTTCTAATCCAGATTGTAAGTAAAGCTTAGTATCTCGATCTTAAAATCATAAATCTGTAATTGTATCTCAGGAGGCGTATATAGTAATTCTGAGGCTGTTTTGAGGGTGAAATTTGATGTTTTTGTTGGTAAATGTTTGGTTGTTAATTATTTGTAACGCCATGTAAGTACTATCGCCAGATCATGTCCAAATGTTGAAAATAATGGAGGGGCTACTGTTGCGGCATTTGCTTTTGTTACAGCATTGTCTGGCTCCCTGACCTAATAGTAAATGTCCTTCGTACAACTGCATGTGAGCACATCACATCACATGACAACGATTAGGGTCTGTGGATGAACAGTTAACCACACGCATGCAAAATCATAGCGGGGTACCAACAAAATCAAAGAAAGTGTTCTTGTTTTGAAGTAGATACAAAATGTTGATTGTTTAACAGCACCATGGTTTAAGATGGTTTGTATTCATCATGTGTATGCTGCAACTTTTGTGCAAACAAAATTTTCCATCTTCTTTTTTACTACAATAGCTAGGAAAGAATTCCATACATGGACACATGACATCACTAATTTTCCGATAACATGTCCTAAACAGTTTGCAGGGAAAACATTGAAGCATTTACTGAGAAAACACTTGGAATTTTGCAGACCAGTCTCATAGGGTTTGTGCACAGGGTGTCAAGTGATGTCCAGGTGGGGTATGGAAGTCTTTCTGCTTTGTTTATCCACAGACCATTGTTGTCATGTGATGTGCACACACGCAGTGGTACATGTAACTCCGATGGGGCTTACACTGTCGTTATCTTCAGAACACCTCTATTTTTTACCGGTTCCGTTCCGTTCAAAACTGACTTTTGCATGACTGTTCAGTACCAAAACAACTTTTGCGGGCCAGTCTTTTGTCTTCAGATTAACTCATGTTTGTTGTAATTTTGAAACGCACTTTCAAAGAAAATGTGACTTTCCTATCTTTTTTTTGGCAATCAGAGACGCAAGCCAGACAGAATTAAAGCCTGATGCTGATTGGCTGATGATATTTTTTTTATAAGCCAATCAGCATGATCAGCATCGAGCCTTCATTGCATCAAGTTTTCACTGTCGCCATAAATTCGAGCCTGTTTTCTGGTTGTCGTCGACGTCTTTTCAAATGACTCTTTTACCCCATAATTTCCCTCATAAATCGAAGACATGCCCACTTTCCACAATATAATAAACAAAATATTCAAGAAGGTGTCCTCCCTTGAATGATTGAAAAAAATGAGTGATGTACGTATTGAGTGTCATTTAGTCAGCTGTTTTGATGAGTCCTTTCTGCCTTTAACCTTATATAGGAACGGGTTCCTAAAGATAACGATTACCGAGACTAGGCCTACTACATGTACTAGGCCTAGTACATGTACTAAAAATAAAAAGGCGAAGTTGGGTACCAAGTTACTCTGGCATGTCGGACGGAAACAATGCAGCATTCAGCATTTGTGTTCAAAGTCAATGGAAAGTCAAGAAGATTTTCAAAGTATTTTCTAACCACATTGGAAACGCGATTCTCTGTCCCAGATTCATATCTTTTAGGAAAGAGTTCCATACTGGGCCATGACCTGAAAAGTACCAAATCTGATGAAGAAACACAATTTAAGGAGTGCAAAAATTCTCAAAATACTTTAACCACCAGTCACACTTGCCAACTGCACTTGCCACACTTGCCAACTGCGCGCTGAAGCGCGCACCCGACGACTGTTTGTCGGCCAACTTCGGCTGCCGTTCTACCTCTGCCGTGATGCAAGTGAAGCCTCATAGTTAGTGCAGCAGTGGTGCATCAAACAGGCATCCCGTGCGCGCTTCAGCGCCATGCCGCGCCGCGCCCAGTCAGTTGCTGTGTCACGCGTAGCTGCTCTATTTTCTCGTCCACACAACTGACAGCAACGCGAGGCCAGCGAAAGATGGCCGTAAAAAAGGCTTCCGAAAATTCGTGATTCTCATGGCAAACCACAACCCATCCAAACAAACAAAGTTGTTTAAGGTAGTTAAAAACCTACTTCATACACCCATCAAGGTATTTTTTTTTCTCAAAAAAAGGATTTTGATGCATTTTGACAGTATTATTTCACGGACAAATCAACTAAAAATTAGATCATGAAATTTTCGGTTTTTTTCAACAACGACGAAAGTCTCCCAAATGTCAAAGGAAAGAATGAACCTTCATCCACAAAAAATCTCGTGAACGTGATTTCGTCAATATTTTAAGAATTTGATGTACACCTAATGTTTCCAACAACTTCCATTTTTCACAATGCGAAATATCGTCGCCATTAATTGTTAAGCATAGAGCGAGGAACCCAAACACAGTGTGACCTTGTGACCTCATACGCCCACTGATTGGTCGAGTTCGAGTATGGCCTGCTTAATATTGTAGCGCAAATTGGTAAACACTTTCATGACTTACTTCTCACGCGGCGATTCTCTTTAGTTCTGGCAGCTGGTCTTCATTGGGCGATAGAAATTAGAGATTGGGCGTTTTTAGCTGCGCACATAAAATGTACATAGCGTGCAAGCATGAGTGCTTGGCGGTACAGGGTACCAGCGAAAGTGCTGTTGCGCGTTGGGCTCTTTTAGTGTGCGGCGCAGAATTGGGCGCATTGGCATTGCACTGCATGCACAAACCGCATAGTTGGGCGCTTACTGAAGCCAAATTTATAGCGCGTATTTTAAAGTTGCTAAGGAGCTTGGTTACGCGTACGCCGTAGGCGCGGCGCACTTCACTTGCCATTTTGCTGTCACTTTGAGCGGACGTGCGCTGATCTCCACAACTAATATTGTGAGTAGAAAATAGTGTTATTTATATCGTGACACTTTTCCCAGCTATTTAATTTAGGGCAAGTCTAGCTTGGGGTAATTCAGCGCACAGTTATCCAAAGTCCGCATATTTTAGGTGAAATTTAGGAGAGAATATAAGCCAGAAATCTTGTGAATAATTTATTTGGAAACCATTTGGAGGTCTGATCACCTCCGGAGGTAACTGGAGGTGACTGGAGGTAACTGTGCTTGGAGGTACATGTACCTCCGATTCATTTGGTGCGAATTAAATGATGCATTGAGTAGTACAAGTTATATCTTGTTTCCGATTGTCAATTACTTGCTTGTCCAATAGGGTTTGCCTGCAAGTGGGGATATATTTTCCCCAAACGGACGCACCCCCCGGGTTGTTGAGAACCCGCCGCCCATATAGAATCCCCACCGCGTGCGGAGCCGCTCCCGCGCGCAACTCAATAAAATAATTTGTGGGAGGGAAGAACGCCACAAATGGTGTCAGAAGTGGGATTCTTGTAGGGAAAAATTTAGTATTGGTAGGCAAGTAGTTGTATTTTTGTGTGTGTGTTTGCTTACCTCTTCCGAGTGTGAGCGCCTCACTGATTTGTGTACCTCCGCCGGAGGTGCTATATAGAGTGTGTGTTATTTGAGAATTATTTTGCAGTTGTGTGTACAAATAAAAGGGGCTTGGGATATTATGGCGGACCACAGGACCTCCAGAGAGGTCATATCAGGTTCGGGTACAGTCACCTCCGGAGGTGAGAGTGGTGTACCTCCCCATGGAACCGCCCCTAATTTCATATCAATGAGATTAGAGGAGCTGGAAAAAGAAATTCAGCTGCAGGAAGAGCAGCTCCGATACACACTTAGAAGCATGGCGTTGGATAAGAAAGTCCAGCCGAACAAAGTAGATAAACCGATTATAAATCGGAATAATGTTGAAATGCCTGGATTGCACCTCCCGGAGGTGCAGGATGATCCAGAGGTGAAATTCAAAGATTTAATGGGGGAGTTGAAGCTCCAAACGTCGGGGTATGCGACTGGGATCAGTCCTACGGTGCCCCTAACAACAAATACAGTCATGCAATGTAGTAGCAAAGACAGACAAAGTGAGGATCAAAACAGCCGTGTGGCTATAAGAGGTCCTCAGGTTAAAGGTTATGGAGGGCCTGTGACCTCCACACCTCGTCCCGTAGTCTCAGAGCCTGTACGGACAGGACAGAGAGATGAAATTGGATTGCATCCAATGACCGGACGTGGTGGTCGGCCGAATATAATGCCGGATAGATTTGACGGAAAAAGTCCCTGGAAAGACTACCGTCAGCACTTTGAAGCATGTGCAACAGCGAACGGCTGGAGCAATGCACAATCGGCTGTGTTTTTAGCAGCTAGCTTAAAAGGAGCAGCACTGAAAGTGCTAGGGCGTTGTAACCGAGAAAGCGGACAACTCCAGTATAAAGAATTGATAGATCAACTCGAAGCGCAATTCGGGCCGGGACAAATGGCCGAAAATTTCTTAATGGAATTGCGAACGCGCAGACAGGGTCAGAAAGAATCCCTGAGAGAGTTGGGGCAGGCAATAATGGAGCTAGTGGCCCTAGCCTACCCCGAGTTCGATGAAAGTGGACGGGACCGTCTAGCACGGGTCCACTTTGCTGATGCCATTGAACACCAGTCAATCAGAGAGGGCATATTTAGGGCGAGGCCCCAAACCCTTGACGAATCAATCAGAGCTGCATTGGCAACAGAAAACTTTGAGCGAATGGAAGCTGAGAGAGATCCATCGCCAAGAAAACCCAAATACTGTAGAGCGAGTGAAAACAAGGGAAACCCACAGTTGGGACCAGCTAAACAAGCATTTCGCTCAGATAAGGATAAATTCCAGACAGTGAGTGAGGCGCCCCAACCGATGGGAATACCTCATAGTGAGGTACACATTGGAGGCGCTACACAATCAGAGGTGTTGACTTGTTACAATTGCGGAGGATGGGGGCATTTTGCAAGAAAGTGTCCCTCCCCGAGAAATCGTTCGGGAAACGCCGGGCGGTCTACCACGGGACCCATGGAAAGACCGCTATTCCAGAAAATGGGTCAACCAGTTGTCCCCCAGAGAGGACAGAATCCAAACCAGAGTTAGAAAAACGGGAAACAAACTCGGTTCCCCTAGAGGAACCCAAAGAAGGGTTATTTGTACGAGGGGTGTTAAGATCTATCAGTGTACAATTTCTGGTAGATACAGGGTCGACAGACACGATTATATCGA